AATGTATAAATAACCATAATAGAATAATAATTGATTTAAAAAAATGTAGTTTTATTTGCCCTTTACCTTTGAGGATAGACGACGGTGGAGGTGTAAACTGGTGGCGGAAGAGAGGGAGAAGGGAAATGATACTAAAACTTAACTTACATAACATAATGTAACAATAACTTAAAAATGACTTAGAAAAGATAAAAAAATTAGTGTTGTTTTTATATATTTTCTTTTAAATTTTTATTCACTGCTTTTTGCTTTCTTTCCTTCACTTCTACCAGCACTTTCACTGGATACAGGTTTCTTAGTAAAATATCTATCCAAACTTGGCTTTGCCTACTTTTTAAAATGACTTAGGCAAATGTCATTACTCCGAACAGCAATATAGCCAGTGTGAACCTTTTCGGAATGTTTCTTTTCAATAAAATCAGTCACTTTTTGATAATACCTCAAGATTTCCTTTATCGAGCGAGATTCTTCCACAACAAAGCAAACACTCGGACTGAGACCGATGAACAGAAGTGAATAAAAAATGGTGCTGCGAACTAATATAATGTCATATGGTGAGTTTTTGTTCATATCATGGAGCAAAAACATGTTCAAATTTCATGTCGTATCCTGAAAATTTTGTATGCCGGGGCGTTTATATCTGTTTATATCTGGATGGATGTTTATACTGCTGAATCATGCCAGAGCATGATTCAGCAGTATCAACATCCATCCAGTAGTTGCATATCTAGATGTATTAAAGCTGCTCTAGTAGCCAACATGGCCAACAAAGTACTCTTCCTTAATAGTTATTAGGGAAGAGTATTTATTACATAACTTTAAATCCTCTGATAAAGGAATCCAGCAGCTGTTTGTTTGATATTTAAAATATGTTTCCATAATTCACTTCAGATAATGTGAAACTTGATTAAATGGGTCTCTGTTAATCTGGACTCTATTCTATTTGTATTTTACATTATTAACCTCCTTTTCATTCAATAATTATTTTTAATAGTAACTGAATTTTACAGCATATGTGCATGCATTAAATGTTACACACGAAGTATTTTTGCAAATATGTTATGTTCTTATCACCGTCTAAACATGCTCCAATCAATGCAAGGCTTAAATAGAAAATTTAAGGTTTGAACAGTTTAATTCTTTTGCAAAACAAACCCCCGAGAGTAAACTTTACCGTACGGTCTGCAAAAGAGGCAGATCTGATCTCTCGGAAGTAACAACCAAACCAAGAAAACAATTGTAAGGAAAATACTATGTACACGAGGATTAACACTGTTAAAGTTCANAGCCCCTGAAATAATAAATTCCTATTACAAATATACTGAATTATTTATATTGTTATATTGACCAAATAATAATTTATTGGCCAAATGAATAATAATAATTCATATTGTTAATTTAAATAAGAATTAAAGTTGTTAATTTGAATGTTTGAAATATGACACACGATAGGGGCGCCTCTAGTGTCTGTTATCAAACGGTTACGGGACAAACAGACGGATACCTGTTGAATGGGTTATATATATAGATGAGGTAGAGTTGGAAATGAACCAAACTTTTATCATGTGTTTTATTACTCAACAAATAGAAACTCTTACATTACACTACCTTCAAAATAAGCTTCTTTTGTCATTGAACATACTATTTATCAAAGCAATCTTGGAAGCCTTTTTTTCATGATACCTTTAGGGACTTTTATTGTTTGTGACTTTCACCTCTTCTGCAGATTGGAACCTGAAAACTTTAAACTTTTCTTTCATTTTGGACAGATAAAAAGTCTGTAAAAATAAGATCAGGAAAATAATGAGGTTGGGGAAACACTTATACACCCTTCTTTGTCAGCTGTTCACTGACTTGGAACTAGGAACATTGTTATGAAAAAATCAGTTTTGTCCCTTCCACAAATCAGATTTCTTTCATTGTACAGTGTCATGCAGATGGCTGAGAATTTCAATATGCCTTTTCTTATTTACAATCTGACCTTCAGGAAAGAATTCATGGTATATCATGGATATCAAATATTCTAAGCATTACCTTCTCTTCTGATTTTTCAGCCCAAAATTTTTTCTGCTGTGGCAATTGAAATCATTCAATTAATCAACAAAATTAATCAGATCTTTATATAATGAATAGAATGATCAGTGGTAGTTAAACATGGTGCTTACGCAACAGCCACAGATCAAATATCAGTCCTCCATTTCTGTCATGGCAATTGAAATCATTCAATTGCCATGACAGAAATTCCTTGCAGTGTCATATCTCTTATGGAAATTGGAGAATTATCTAATCTTTCATGGAAATTATTTAAATCCCATGCATTTTAAATAAGAACATACCAAAAACTATGTTCTTATTTTAAAAAAAGTGTTCTAAAGTTCCTATTTTAATTTGTTAAATCTCTGAGGATGGACTGAAGTCTAAAAGCACTTGGATGTTTGTATGTTAGATATTATATTCCAATTAAAATAATTGTGTTTGATTTTTGATAAAGACTTTTGGAGTGAATTTTAATAAAGAATTATTATAAATTATAATGTAAACATAGAGAGCATTACAAAATAATGCAAAACACCAGGCTACCAAAGGCAATTTGTTGACTCCTTTAATACTTAATATAATGAATGCTAAAAATTATCATTATGTAAACACAAATACAGTAGAGCGTTGTTTATCCGAATCAATTGGGGACTGGGGTTGTTTGGATAACTTATTTTTCGGATAACCAATTATGTACGAAAAAATATATTAACCTATCCCGTGTTGAAATTTTTTTCCGTTGCATGTCGCTTTGCGTTGAATTTTCGTCGGTGTTAAGCCAAACGTAAACTTTTTAAAATAATAATTGTGGCTATTGTATCATTAAAAATTATTTCTTTATTTTGTAGAAACAAAATAAATATATTGAAAAATATAAAAACCAAAAAAATATACTTTAGAAGTTGATCTAGTATCAAAAATGTTTGATTCAGCACCACACAAAAGTGCCAGTGCTGCCAGCTAAAACACACACACCAACAAAAAAGATATTGGAGTAGCCCAAGATATAGCCAAAGATTGCAGCGCCACAGCACTAGCGAAAATTTAAATTTGCTGACTGGAATTTTTTCGGATAAACTACGCTCTACTGTACCTAAAAGTATGTATCATAAAAATCTGCACAAATTTCAAAGTTGTCTAAAATTCATTATTTATTTTAAAATAAGGATTTTTTTTTATACAGATAGATTGTTTAATGTTGAGGTGATATAATCAGGACTGATCATTTCTATTAATTTCTGGAAGTGGTCAGCTTTGAAGTGCAAAGTTTGGCCTTGATTCCATCTCCAACTCCTTGGCAGAATCAGTTTTCCAACTATTTTCATAAACTTTTTGTTTCAGTTTGTACCAAAATCTCAATTGTTCTTAGTTGCAAAATGTTTGAAATGTTGGCTTCATGGGAGATGTATCAAATTCTGTAATGGTCCAATATGGAACTGTGGTTTGAGCATAATGGGGAATGGCCATATCTGAACAGAAAACATCCTTGGGCAGGATAATATTTCTTTAGAAAGGGTACTGATCTCTCCTGAATGCATTTGTTGCAATACATTTTGATAATGAAGAACCATGATGATGCAGTGAATGTCCATGAGAGTCTGTTTGGAATGGTTGCCAACTAAACCAGAAGCTTTAATGAAAACTTGGATTGTCATTTGAATTTGACTTCAGGATCTATATCTAGTTCTTCTTTGTGAAATAGTGATTATTACCAGCAGATTTCACTTCCATCAATTTCAGTATAAAATCTACCAATTACATATTTTTGATCAAATTCATTTAACCCTTTACCACCGCCATCTTGTTTACATTAATTTTGTAAACTGTCCGAAGGCAATATAGGTCAGTCAGGTGATATTATTTTAAAAACTCACAAAAAATCAAATTATCATTATATTCATATGAAAAAAATTATATACATTTATTAATATCTTTAGTTTTAAATACGATATTTTTCAATACATTTTATTAGAAAAATTTATAAGAAAAAAATAATATATATTAGAACTGACATTTAAACTTGATAATTTGTAACTGTTAGTCAAAATTAACATTGTTTAGTTACCTAGTTTTTTGCTGGCAATGAGCCAGAAAGACGTAGAATATTGTTCTGTACAACTCTATATAACATTTATACATGTATGTTTATTCATTGCGAAATTATCGCATATTATATCAAACATTTGTTTGAAAACAAAATTTTATTATGCTACCAACTAATATAATGAACTAATATACTTTATTCACTTCATATTGAACAAGAATATAAATTTTTGTAATAAACATATGATTTACCAGTAGTAATACATGTAACATTTGCTGATATTTTAGATTAAATAAAAAATATATAAAATGTCAGAACTGAAAGTCACAACTTGAATATTTATAACACATTGACTTACACCTAAATAAACTTATTATAGCATAAATGAACTTATTGTAGTAATATTATTGCATGAATATGCTAAAAATGAAATAAAAAAATTATCAGAAAAAATAAATTAAGAAAAAAAGCATTAATTAAAATTTTTTAAGTCAACAAAACACCACCTTGAGAAAAATATGTGAAACAGACGATAGACAAGATGCAGCCATCAAGTGCTGACTGATCTCTTGGTGATAAATTTTACAAAAATTGATTTTTACTAGGGTAATGACGAATTGGTACCCTCGAAATTTTGCTTAACAGTGGGGGGTACCGACTGATCAGTACTTTCGAGGGTAAAGGGAACATGCATTTTTAAAATGGAACATTATTTACATAAACTTCTTTGATAAATTCAATCAAGAAGATTCTAAAAAGAATGTATGCTGTCTCATGCATGTGCAATTATTTGAAATTACCAAAAATGATATTGAAATTAGTGCATATTCTTAGGATACCTATATAACATAACAATTTCATTATGATGATACAAAATTCTAAATAAAAGTATTAAAATTTGAATATTCTTTTATTAAAGGCATTATTAAAAAAAAATCAGGATCTAACTCCAACACCACAAGAACAAACTGCAGTTCTTAATCTTGTGACAAAAATTCAAACAGTATTGGATAATTTAGCTGTAGCGCCAGGAACATTTGATGCTTGTGTAAGTAAAGAATATTTAAAATATGTATTTTGTAAGTTATATTAATGTGTGTAATTTATTTGCATAAGTAAAATTTTTAAATGACAATTTATTTTTACAATAGAGTACATTAATTTAATTAATGTATGTAATATAAAATAGTATCTATAATTTAAAGTAAATTATAAAAATTGAATATATTAAATGTAAATAGATTGATTCATTTTTGTTGTATCAATATTTCAAATGAACATTAAAAATGTAATTGTATTATTTCAGAATGTTAGATTTAAGATTTTGTAAAATTTTTAATATCTCTGTCTGAATTATTATTGATTATTAATGAAGTACGTGTATTAATGAAACTTTATAAATACTTTTTTTATTTGAAATTATTTTTAAAAATTGAAATTAAAAATTGATGAACTTATTCTACTATGCTTTCATTTAGTTTGATTTTAAAAAATGCTAATTTTGAATTTTCCTCTTAAAAGACATTTTATCAAATTAAATATACTATGTTTTTGTGCATATAACCTCAAATAATTTATAATAGATTAAAAATTGCTAGAATGGAAATAAAACCTTTGCAAAATAACCTTTCCTACTTATACCTCACACCTTCAGAATTGAAAGCATGATATTTATTGGTGTGTAGTTTAGAAAGTACCATCTCAAACAGTAGATTGTTGTTTTTCTATTACATTTCTTTGTAGATGTAATTATAAAATAATTGAAATTAAAAAATGAATACTGACGGGGAACCTTCTAAATGTCATGTACAGAAAATACAAATGGATATTGAATAACAAAATTTTTTTAATCCTACTGTTTTATTTAATTTATTTATATAATAATAATAAGTTATAAGTTGACAAAACTATGTCAAACAGCTGGTTGGATTGGGAATGCCTCTTTGGGGAGACGGAAGGATTCATGATTGCCATACAGTATCAGGTCATAAATACTAAAAACTGAAGAAAACACATACTCAAAGGTACAACACTCATAAATGACACATGCAGAAAATGCCACATCATGCCAGAAATTATACAACACATCACTTCTGGTTGCAAGCTCTTGGCACAGACAGATAATTTACATAGACACAATCAAGTAGCAAATATAATACACCAAGAGCTTGCAAAGAAACACAAATTATTAGTTCTATGTATGTATTGTCTCTTTAATCTGACATTAAGTTCGGTAGACTATCATTACAGCTTTCAGGTTAGACACTTCTTTTATTGTTTCAGGTTGTAATGTATTTATAATAATGTTGTAACAGAGGAAAAAATTGGAAATATATTGTAAAATTGTGTATGTATCCCTTAAAAAATGTTTTTAATATTACTATGCTATCTGTAAAATGATTATAATTGCAGTTACTGCAACGTTATATTGTAGAACATACACATTCTTCAAAAGTTGTACTTATATAAGATTTTATGAGCAAATGTTAAAAGTTTTTTGTATTAATGGTGAAAATGTATTTGAGGTGTTTTTAATGGCTGTATTTTAAAATCTTTCCAATGTTACCCATTGTACACTGTGGTTTTAGGAGACAGAACCATAGTATTGCACTGAAGAAGGACTTAACATTTATATAAGTCTGAAATGCATATGTGGAAACAATAAAAGAAGTGTCTAACCTGAAAGCTGTAATGATAGTCTACCTAACTTAATGTCGGATTAAAGAGACAATACATACATAGAACATAACAGCTATCCAAAAGTGATATTTAGACAAATTATTAGACATTCATGAACCATACTGCAAATACATCCCACAGACAGTATTGGAAAACAACACACACAAAATGTACTACGACAGAGCCATAATCACAGATAAAACAATTTACCACAACTGACCAGACATCACACTCATTGACTAACACAATAAAATCACATACATTATGGACCATTCCAACACTCACAATATACAAAACACATGCACTGAAAAAATCAGCAAGTATACTGAACTTGCACAGGAAATAAGGCATCTATGGAGGATGGATAGGGTGCTTATTGTACCTGTCATTCTCTCCTGTACAGGTGTGATACCACACACGCTACACAAAAGCCTGGGAACATTACAATTGAACAGAAACACATACATCACACTACAGAAGGCCACTATATTGAATACATGTCATATTGTTAGGAAATTCCTGAATACAGACTGACACACTTATTTAATTTCTGTCTTGTTTTGGTTACTATGTCTTGACTCTGGTCTGGCATAGTACACAGCCACTGGTATCAACCAAGTATAGTCCACTAAATACTGTATAATAATAATAATAAATGAATGTTAAAATAAGCCTGTATACTGCTTTCTCACCATCTCTTCTCTTTAATTTCTCATAAATTTTATCTAAGACTTTATATTTGGCCTTGCCAATTGCTTTCTTAATTTTAGTTTTGGCTTTTTTATACTTCCTATGATCATTCATTTCTCGAACAAAGTCTTCTTTTCCTTAACCCCTTTTAAGCCGGCCATTTTTTTAGAATTTTTAATTAAGCATAAAAAATACTTAAAACTGAAGAAAAACGAAAGAAATGCGTTAATTTTGAAGAAAAAGCTTCAAAGTCTAAGTTTTTTTGTCTGGCCTTTCTGCGAAATTTAACACTGATGAGTTATTGTTTACACAGCTGGATGACCTTGAACACAGCTGGAGTCTGATTTCCCGGGACATTCTCAGACATCGCGGGAGGACAAGGGTTTAAAGTAGGGTGACTTCAATCTGGCGGTATATTTTTAAATATTTTAAAAAAATTATAATTTTTATTGCGATTTCCGACCCCCCCTAATTAATTAAACTTCTATATAATAAAATCTATTAATTAAAAAAATTAAAAAACTATCGGAAGTCGTTTTTGACATCAGAAAGCAGCTTTAAATAACTTTACCGAAGGAAAATCGGTGCGCTACAACTTTAGAATGATAAATTAATTTTGATAAAAAACTCCCATTAAAAAAACATTAAGCCTTAATCGAGCCTTATCAAAGGCTCATTAAAATCGCGATAAAATTTTTTCGCGTGCGCAAAAAATTCTGAAAAAATTTGGGGACCTAAAAAACATTCCAAAAATTCAAAAAAAATAATTTTTTCAAAAGTGGCCTTAACGACGTAACGCTATAAAACTTGCTCGAGTCACACTCGACCGCGGCTCAGAAGGGGTTAATAATTGTTTGCACTTCCTTATTCCACCACCATGATCCTTTCCCAACACATCCTTTGCTCTTAGTCTCACCAACCACCTCTCTTCCCACCACCACAATACTTTCAGTTATCTTCCACACAGTATTTACATTTAGTTCTAAATTCCAACAGTTCATCTGAAACAGCCTCTCCCTAAACCATCTTTCTTTCTCACTCTTCAATTTCCACCATTGTATCTTTGCAGAACCAACCTGACCTCTGGCCTTCTTCTGTATTTTAATATTCAAATCCATCACAAGCATCCTGTGTTGGGTGTTAAGGCTCTCTCCTGGTATCACTGCAATCTTTACACATCTTCAAATCCTCTCTTCTGATAAAAACATAGTCAATCTGTGACATTCTCCCACCACTCTTGTAAGTCACCAGATGCTCCATTCTCTTTACATAAAAGGTATTTGCTATGGCTAAGTCAAAGGTCATTGTCATCTTGAGAGTTTGGATTCCTTCCTCATTCTTAGCTCCAAAGTCCTTTCTGCCATGCACCCTCTCATAACCATTTTTTCTCTCCGAAATGTTTATTTAGGTCTCCACCAATTAGTACATTGCATTCTGGTAATATGTCATCTAGGCAATTCCAGAACTCTTTCTCTTCATCTCTTAATCCTGCTTGAGGAGCATATACACTAAGAAATCCAAGTTGTCTTTCCAAGGATCACCTTGATCATCATAATTCTATTATTTCTTCTTTTTTACTTCTAATACTTTCTCCTTCAGCTCTTTACAGACCACAATTCAAACTCTGTTCCTTCCATTCTCATCCTAAAATACCACAATTTGTAGTCATAACCAGTGGTGATATTCAGCGGATTCGCACAGGTTCGACCGAACCTGTTGTTAACATTTTCAAAGTTTTCAAAAATATATTAAAATATACGTATTATACTCTGTAACACTACTAAACTAGAGCCTTATACCCCGTTCGCCTTGGGGCGACCTCCCTTGACTGTTTCAATTGGGATTGACTCAAGAGAGTTCTTGAAACTAGATCCAGTCATAAGAGAGATCCCACAATCCCACGAGCATGAGAAAATACAAGATGGCTGCGGAACACGTGTCGGGCTATATAATAAGATACCCATATCATATGGGTATCTTATTATAAGGTCAGTTTTTGCACTAATGTTGCTAATGCACCATTTGAGCGAAAAAAATTTAAGGAAAAATTTTCTGTTAGCAAACCCTTTGTTAAATATTTCGAATATCACCACTGGTCATAACCAATTTCTTTATCCTTCCCTCTTTTCCATTTTCTCCCTTGTAAGCAGGCCATACTCTCTCTCTCTTTTTTTTTAGAACATCTGCTAATTTTCTTCTCTTTCCTGTTAGTGTCCCCATATTCCATGATATTACTCTTAAACTCTGAACTATCTTCTTTGGCCATACTTGTCCAATCTTGTGTGGTAGCTCCTGCTCATTTTTCACAGCAACATGGAGCTGCTGCTGTGCATTGCCCTAGCTATGGCCAAATTTCCAGAAAGACTCCTCATTATTTTGCAGTAGTTTTACAGCTGATTGCCATGTGATGCTAACCCTTCTCCTCTCTCATCCATGCTTGGGACCTGCAATGGCAGAGTGGAAATTTATGTAGTTTCCAAAATAACAAAATAGAGTGAGAAAAACATTACTACTTCCTTAAAATTGTTTACTCTAAGATGGCGACCATTGATTCAAAGCAAACAATTTCGAATAAGAGCTTTGAATAGGAAGACTTACAGTACTTACTTTACAGACTTACTTTAGTGTTGACAGGAGACATACAAGATGAAATACCTTGATGTCAGCTGTTTGTGGATGATGATGTGAATGTGGACATGGACAAATTACACCGTAAGTTGGAAAAGTGGAGAGCAAGATTAGTAGAAAGAAAACGGAATATATGAAATATGCTTTTAGGAAGGTGCTTCTGAGAATGAAGACGATGTGAAAATTGAAGGAATAAAAGTGAAAGAGAGTGAAAGATTCAGATATTTGGGGTTGGTACTCTGGCAAGATGGAGAGATTGATGAAAATGTAACAAAAGAGTCACAGCTGGTTGGACTAAATGGAGAGGACTAATGGCATACTTTGTGTCAGAAGAATGCCTCCAAGATTAAAAAGAAACTTTTATAAAATCTCCCATTAAAAAAACATTAAGCCTTAATCGAGCCTTNCATCAATTGTATATATCTGTGACAAATTCCTTGTTAATCCACTAATAATTGTAACAATTACTATATATCTAGCATGTCACTATTCTCACTGTATCAAACTGGGTTATACCTATGTGGCGCCCAGTATACGCTGTACCTAGTGTGTTGAATAAAATATATCTGTATCTGTATCTGTATCTATGCTTGGGACCTGCAATGGCAGAGTGGAAATTTATGTAGTTTCCAAAATAACAAAATAGAGTGAGAAAAACATTACTACTTCCTTAAAATTGTTTACTCTAAGATGGCGACCATTGATTCAAAGCAAACAATTTCGAATAAGAGCTTTGAATAGGAAGACTTACAAGTGTTGACAGGAGACATACAAGATGAAATACCTTGATGTCAGCTGTTTGTGGATGATGATGTGAATGTGGACATGGACAAATTACACCGTAAGTTGGAAAAGTGGAGAGCAAGATTAGTAGAAAGAAAACGGAATATATGAAATATGCTTTTAGGAAGGTGCTTCTGAGAATGAAGACGATGTGAAAATTGAAGGAATAAAAGTGAAAGAGAGTGAAAGATTCAGATATTTGGGGTTGGTACTCTGGCAAGATGGAGAGATTGATGAAAATGTAACAAAAGAGTCACAGCTGGTTGGACTAAATGGAGAGGACTAATGGCATACTTTGTGTCAGAAGAATGCCTCCAAGATTAAAAAGAAACTTTTATAAAATGGTTGTTAGGCCTGCATTGTTATATGTATACTTTGTATGGGGATATCCCCAATTTTCCAACCATTTTAGAGCGAAATCGTGTTGTACAAGGAATACCTGTAAATAAAAATGAACAAAAATTAAATAGATAAACTATTATAGATTTCTCAAATAATTTTAGATGTTTTTCTAAAATTGATATGGAATGCATTAAAGTGATTGTGGAAAATGTTGAGAATGCAATTTTTTTGTGTGATTGATTTTAGTATTCTAGTGTTTATAATAATTGCACTATATTAAATAAACAAAGTAACTGTTTTATGTAAGAAGCATACACTTTGATTAAAAGATTTGACTGAAAATATTTATTTTAATAAAATTGCTGAATTTTTGAACTAGTGACATTTTGCCTATATTTATGAATTTTATTATAATTTCATTTTTTTGTTAATGGTTATGATATTGGATAATTATTACTTTTTAACTTTTCTGTATTAAGTATTTCAAACATTATAAAATATTATCAAGATTTCATATTTATATAAACATGTAGTTTACAGCATATTTATTTTTCAGCAAGTAGATGAAGTTCGGCAGGTTGGATCATTTAAAAAAGGAACCATGATGACTGGCCAAAATGTGGCTGATATAGTAGTTATTATAAAAACACTTCCTACAGGTAATTTAGCATTTTAAACAGCCTTATAAATTTAAAATATATAAACTTTATTAAAAGTATTTATTAAATTACTGAATATACATCACATAATTATTTAATAACAGTTTTTAATTAAAAAAAACAAAAATTAATTTATTCATCTGTGTTTTTATAAGTGCATATAGATAAATTAATAATTATCATCTTAAACTGGTATTATAGATAATTACTTTAACCTTAAATTATCCTTAAAAAGAATTAAAATACATAATATATATATATTATGTATTTTAATTATGTAATTTATCTATATGCACTATAAAAACACAGATGAATATATATGAAATATGAAGAAAAATTAAAGTGTTATTAATTAAATACAATGTTTTTAAATAAAATAATAAATATATTATCATTTTTTTAATTAAAAGATTGAAGACAAAGTCTATCTAAACTGCCATCTTTATTTACTGTCTTGTTCTGAAATACATTCCATGACAATCTCACCTTTGTTTTTAAGATACTTGGTTGCCACCTTTGCAACTAATATAAGTTACAGTAATAAATGCAATTTAGTCTGAAAATAATCTAAATTTACTAGAAACAATGCCCAAACATTGTATTATTTATATATGATTCCATGAACATTCTGTGTTAGATATAATTTTTTAAACAGTTTTAATTAAAGTAATTAACATTTTCTTGAGGCTATAAATTTGAAAAATACAGTAGAGCCTCGAAAACTCGGCACTCGATAACCCGGCACTCCGGATAACTCGGCCACACCCTGGCAGGGCAAAAAAATCCTTAGTTAATTAATTTTCATTATAGACAGCTTTATAAAAGTATAAAAGCTCTCATAAAGTATTTTTCTGAGGTCTGTCTTATCAGGTAAATTACTGTACACAGTGTATCATTCATTTTCATTTTCATGTAGTAAAGGCTCTATGCCTTCATAAAGGATGTACTTTTCCTTTGTTTAAGGGTATTTGGGCACTTTATTCTCTGTTGTATTCTCAAGTAAACAATACATACAAGTACAGTACAGTATTTTCTGAGGAAACACCCATACTTATTTTTTTTAACCCCATTCCCGATAACCCAGCATTTTCACAAACTCGGCCACCCTTCGGTCCACATTAGGCTGAGTTTTCAAGGCTCTACTGTATTGAGTTATTTAATTAACACTGCTTGTAATATTTGTTTCGGACATTAGATATAAACAAAACAACTTTTACCAGAATTTATTATAATAAAAACATACATGATATTTGAAAATAGCTCTGTTTAAAAAACTATACATATTTAAACACGCATGTTAACCATTGTTTTTGCAACATATTGTTCTAAAGCCTGGTATTCACATTCAGAAATGGATGACGTAAACTGTCAACAGAACAGCTAAAAGACAACACTCTTGCCATCAAATTTTCTACTTTTGCCATTGCAGAAAGTGGAACAGTAAAAATTAGACCAATAGGAAGGCCATTTAGCAATGTCATCATAAACATCACATGTGGTGATAGCATTTGAACTATGGTAGTCAGCATGGAATAGAAAGCATAATTTATACTCTAATACATTAATACATTTCATTTATACACTATATTACTATCCAATTTAAATATTAACATCAAATATATGTACTTACTGCATAAAGTATTTGAGATGACATAATCATAATTTGGGTACAAAAATTATTTCACATTTCTAACTTCTGACGATTTCAAAATATTTTTCTTACCCAAATTTTTTACTTTTGTGGCTTTTTTATTGTAAGATCTTAAGCAAACTTAGAAAGTTCAATTGATATAACAAAGTAATCCTCATTGGCACCATTTTCAACTACCAGCAGTGGTAGTTTATCTTTAAATAAACATTATCTTTTTGTATCTTAAGAATTTTTTTCCCTGCTATTTATTGGTTTTGAACATAAAATTTTTCAAAGCATTAAAAAATTGGAGATATAAATTTAAAGACAGTTACATTTTAATTTAAATTATTTTTATCAGTTTAAATTCCCTTTTGTGCAAAAGTTTAAGGTTTGTATTGTTTCAATTATTTAGGAGAAGCTGTACATGCTCTTGGAAATAAAGTTATGGAGGATATGAAACAAGCAGATCCTCATGAAAGTAAGTAAATCTTCTCGTAAAAGAAATATTTTGCATTTATTCTAGAAATAAATTTAAGATCATGTTTTTTTACATTAATGCAAAATTTTAATTAACATTTATTTTTGATATTTTTATATATTTTTAATAATTATTTTAATCTGAAATCTATTTTCAGAGAATTAAATATAACAATTTTATTTTAAAAATTGTAATGCATAAGTTTTAAAGGTCAATTTTCTTAAAACTTGTTTTTTGTATTTAATTTACTATTTACTTACAAATTAAGAATTATTTAATCTTTAAATGATTATAATCTCAATGTATTAGGAAAATTTAATGTAATCAAAATATTGATGTTTTATACAGTAATAAGAATAGATTACTTTATATGCATATAAAAATTGTTATAAGTTCAATTAACTATAATATATTTCAATATTAAAGCTTCACAATTGATTTCCTCTTGTTATTTTGTATAGTGTTTATATTTTATATTTAAATATAAAATAATATATACGATGTCTGATTTAAAATAATGAGAGTCCTGAGATCAGCTAACATTTCTGATTGAGATTGAATTTGGTATCTAATTGTCAATATTGACAATTAGATACCAAAAGGTCTATATTAGACCTTTTTCTTTAGCCTGATAATGTCTTTAATTTTGCCTAGAAACAGATGAAGAGACAATTGTGTTCTGAGGATGAAGGTTTAGAACCAATCAAAATATAGATTGAAGGGACCCAATCTGTAAAAACTTGTTTCAAGGACATGAGACACTCCTTTCATAAAGTTAAGGAAACCGAGGCTCCTTTTTATGTAATTGTGGAAGCCCAACTAGTTCCCTCTTGCTTATTTTTTGTCTGGCTCACTGCATGTTCTTTTGGATAATTTCCATTCTGTCTACTGTGTTCTTTGTTCTATGAAGTAGAAAGAGTTGACAGTGGTTGACTATTTCTACTTCATTGAATTTCATCAGAGATGTATGTGTACTTCTTAGCAGTCTGTCTTCAAGTCCCTTGCCAAACTTTGGTATTTGTTTCTGATAATTCAAGCCTTCCTCCTTCAGATTTTCTTTGTAAGGATCAGGAAAAGCATCTGGAACTTTTTGTGAATGGCTGTGCTATTCAAGTGATCAGATACTGTAAAAATGTTACTTTCTCAATAAGTTGCCTTTTAAAATAATAATGAGTCATCCTTCAACCTAAACATGCTTGCTCACATACATGATCCCTTTCCCATTCACACCATCTAGTTACAGCCTATTTCAATCAAAAGATCAAAGTTTTTAAAAAATTTTTGTTTGAATATATGACTGTGATTAAGATCATTTGACTTCACAATTTTGATTAAACTATTTAACACAAATACTTTGATATTAAATTACTAAATAAAATTTAAAATAATTTAACTTATATATAATATATGTTCTATTTTGTTCTTTAACTTTTTTATTTACCTTTATTCTTTTAACTCAAGTTTTGTTGTTATAGTAGTTTTTGAAAGGAAATTTTAAAGAAATCTACTTTATTTGATTGTTAAAAATTTTGTTTTCATTAATTTAAGTTTCCAAAGAGATACTGATGTAGTGAAGATAATAAGTTATTGATTTTTTTCAGTTTAGGTATCTGTCTATAAGTATACTGTATAAAATTAGTAAACAGTCTTTTTAGAAGTTAGTCTTTTAATTATTTAATTCCTAAAAAGTTTGTCTTTTAATTATTTAATGTCTAAAAAGTTTGTCTGTTAATTTTATTAGTTAAGAAATTGATAGCTTTATATTGTGGTTTTTTTACTTTCATTTTATTTTAAAGTATTGTACAGTAAAATTACATTTTTGATGATAAGGAAATAAAAATTAGATGTATCAATTTTTCAGATATTTCCATTATGTTGGATTTCTGGATTATTTTTATATTATAGTCTAAAGAAATACTATATGTAGATATACAGGACGGTTCTAAAGTCCTTGTGAAATTTTATACTTCAATCACTAAAGTTGTATAAATGTTAAAACTGTGCAGTAAATATTACTTGAAAGCTTAATAGCTGTTATTTACTTTAATTCTGCAACCTAAAGCACACAGTTTACTTTCTATTCAGTTGTCACCATTTGGGGTCACTAATGAAATTTGTAAATGAAATAAATTAATTCTATATTGATAAAATTATTATGTGAAAAAATTTTGAAAGTTGGGCTCTAAAAAATTATTTACTGCATAGTTTTAATACTTGTATATCTTTACTTATAGAAGTATAAAACTGTAAGGGACTTTAGGGACTACCTTGTATATTATCATTTACTATAAATAATTAAAAGTTTTCTGAAGGAAATTTTATTTCAGTATAATTAATGTTGCTGTAAAAAGATTAGTTGAAATGTTATCAGTTAAGGCCATTAGACTTATTTTTTAATGCTTTATTATAAAATTAATGTAATAAATTTAAATATTTAAAGAAATTAAAATGTTTAATTTTTTCTAAGATTATATTTTTCAAAGTATTGTTTGTTTATTAACAGTTTTAAGTATGGCTACAAATGAAAGTGGTTTTGAAATCAGTTCATCCGAGGCAACTGTCAAGGTATTAATAACAACTATCCCACAGAATTTGAGAAAACTTGATCCAGAATTACATTGTAAGTGATGAAAAATATTTAGAATTTAAACTAATAACATTCTTAGTCACCTAAATTTGTATAATTTGCAAAATGAAATTATATATACAGGTAACCCCCATATAACACAGCACTTTTATAGCATGGATTCACTCTAACATGGTTTGAGAATTGGGAACATCCCCGTATAATATGGTGCTTTTATAGCCTGGGTTCACTCTAACACGGTTTGGGAATTGGGTAAAACCCTCGTACAATATGAAATGTAATAAAGAGTGCGTTCTTTTATACCTCCGCATAACTCTGCGCGAGTATTCTAATTGTTTTCGTGACTACATTGAATGCTCTTTCAACAAATAATCCATTTAATGGTTAAATTTTACAATTGGGACCCTTATTTTGCCTCTAAAAGCTCATTTTAGAATTATAGATTCCTCCACACCATACTATTGATAGTGTGGGCGCCGCCATCTTTCTTTCATTGTTGTTCCTAAATGCCTTCAAACAGCAGCACACTCCTTTTGCAGAGCGACTGCTATTAACGAACGCACCCAAAAACTGTTACTAGTTGATGATGCTTATGCTGAGATCATCATATAGGATGAATAATTCTCTGGTAAAATATTTACTTAAATAATAAATAAGTATTTTACCTATGAAAAAAATGAATAATAAATACGATTTAAATAAGGATTTAACAGCATATTTTTTTAATTTTTGGAACCTAACTCCCCTTTTCTCACTAGTTCTTTGTTTCGCATAACACGGCAATTTTTTGGAACGTAACTCCCATGTTATATGGGGGTTACCTGTACATTAGAGCATCGATTATCCGAATCGATTGGGATTGTTTGGAAAATTGAGTTTTTGGATAACCGATTATGTATGAAAAAATATATTAACCTATCCCATGCTGAAATTCGTTCCAATCCTGGCATGTCCTTAAGTACCCTCTCATGGTCACACCAGTGCTGCCAGCTAAAACATGCACACCAACAAAAATAATATTGGAGTAGTCCAAGACATAGCCAAAGATTGCAGTGCACAGCAGTAGCAGAAATTTTAATTTGCTGACTGGAAAGCTTTCAGTTAATTGACGTTTTGGTTGATTGACATTTGGTTAATCAATGCTCTACTGTATAGTTGACCATTACACATAGAATTGTACTAACTTAGTAGAATTTAGAATTTCATTAGCAGTAATGATTAAAAAGTATTATAAAGAATATTTTTTATCATTATTGCTAACATACATTTAGATTTCTATATTTTCTTAAAATTGTTAATTATAAATTTTGGATAAAAAAAAGTGAATTAGAATTTTTACAAAATTGTTCCTGTTAAGTATTTGTTTTTACTGTTATTATACACAGTGCAGCAATTATATTCCGGGACTGGATCTATAAAAATGAAACAAAACAATTTTATTCAAATCTTTATATTAAATTATTCAAAATACTCTCCTCCTGCTTCAATACACTTTTTACAGTGATTCAATAGTGATTCAAATGCCTGCTCAAACTCAATTTTCGGTATTGCCTCTAATATGCGCGTAGACTCTCTTTGGATGGTTTCAATATCATTAAAAATGCGTCCTTTCAACTTCATTTTCATTTTTGGAAATAAAGAGAAGTCACATGGTGCTAAATCGGGGGAATACGGCGAATGATTCAACACACAGACTTGATTTCGTGCCAAAAATTGACGAACAATCAATGATGTGTGACTCGGTGCATTATCGTGTAACAAACACCAGTCATCAGAATTGCGATATTCTGGTCAAATTCGACGAATTCTTCCCATTAATCGTTGTAAAACTCCCAAGTAGAAAGCAGCAGTAACTGTTTGACCCTGTGGGACGAACTCACGGTGGATGATGCCTTTGCTATCGAAGAAAACAATGAACATCGTCTTGATTTTTGATGGAACTTTTCGTGTTTTCTTGGCTTGAGGTGATGATAAACACTCACTTCCATACACTTTCTGCATCATTTTGAACGTTTCTGTGGCACTTGTGCCAAGTTTAGCGTGAAATTTAATAACAGCACGTTGTTCCATTATTGTTTGCCGACATGTAACAAAATAAACTGATAAACAAAATATCAAAAACAATGATAAATGTCAACCGATTTAAATAAAAGTTTTAGGTTAGTAGCGACATCTGTTCAAACTTCATATGACATAAAATTTAAACAGATGTCGCTACTGGTTGCTGAGATATAGCTTCAGTCCCAGAATTTAATTGCCTCACTGTGTATACATATATTAAATTAGCTTTTTTATAATGGCATCAAATTACAATTTAAATTTTCAGTGTAATAGTTTTGAACTGATGAAAAATTGCTAATATTTTGTTAGAAAGAAATATTGTCTATGTATTATTTATTTCTTGACTATAAGAGTATACATTTTCACAAGTAAAAATTTTATTAATCCATTTCTTTCAGAATATATTTTTTAGTTTGATATAATCATAAATTTTTGTGTTACAAATATATCATATGGGTATTTCTTAGTTCATTGATTAATGCAACATTAATTTCTGCTATTTATTCAAGTTTAAGATACCAGAATATATTATAGTTATTTTTTACAATTGAGTATTTAAGCAACATTTGAAAAAATTCTTTGAAATTGTATAAGTTTATTTAATTAAGCAACTTTTTATATTATTTATTTATATTTATTGAAGTTTGTGTTATATTTATGTTATGCAGTTATATTTATATTTATTTGTATATATATTATATACAAATTTATATATTAAATTGGTATATTAATTAAACAATTAATATACCAATTTAATATATTTGATTGAAAATATTAACTTTGTTTTTTTTTATAAAAATTCTACTTTTGATTTTTTTAATCAGTGGAACAGAAAATTCTTCAACATAATTTGGCATCAATTAGACATTCTAGATGGTTTGAAGAAAATGCTCATCATTCTAGTATTAAAGTTCTAATTAGATTGTTGAGAGATGTGAGAAATCGTTTTGAAGGATTTCAGCCTCTAAATCCTTGGATTATTGATTTACTGGTAAGACATACAAAATCTTTTCTTGTGACTTTTCAATGTTTTTATAGTGAAAGTGAAAAAGAAGTTTAAAATTAAGTTTAAAAATAGGTTTTTGTTAAATTGAATTTTTTTTTTTGACTGATTTTAGTATAGTTTGAAATAATTGTTTTTGGAAAGTATTTGATATAGATTCTGCACTTAAAATTTAAATAAACAGTTATATAAAATATGTAGTATGTTAGTTATAGTTTGAAACATTAAAAATTTAAGTAATTTATAAAAAATTATTTTAATCAGTAACTGATTTTCACTATAAAATATTATTAATTAAGTATATTATTATTATATTTCTCATTATGTATGTATTTTTATGATGAGGTCCAATTAAGGAAAGGCAATAAAAAGTATTAATTAGAGGATCATTTCAGTATTCTCTCATATTAGCACTTTGTTTTATGGATTAGTAATAGTGAAAGCATTTATTTGTCAAATAACAATTAAAATTGTATATAGTAAACATCAAGCTAGGCAAGCTTCAGTCTGATTTTATTTTTAGCAAATATTTTTTATTAATTATAGAATAATGTAAAACTTGCTATTAAAAGTTTCTTTGTACTTCTAAACAGAAAGTTCCACGTAAGTAAATTCTGTCATAATTGTGGAAATTTCATTCCATTTTATTTTATGGACTTAACTTTTTTAAGACTTTTGTTTAATAAAATAGTCCTGCCTACATTCATTTGAGTATCAAGTCTGTTTCCTAACTAAAAATAAATTTGTCATAAGATATGGTATATCAGAAGAATTCTGTAAATTTGACAGTTTTGTGGTAGGTTAATCTGTTAAGTTTCTGTTGTAATAAGTATCTAATTTTTATCTTCCTTGATAATGATAAATAGATTTCTTATTACTACTTTGTATGTATTAATTAGGAAAACTATTTTAAAATAGGAAAACAGACAACTGTCTTTTGATATTGCTTAATAAATAAAGCATGCACAAGATGTTGACAAAAAGCAAATATTTTTAGTAAATAAATTTAGTCATCATGCAAAAAATATAATTTAAATGCAAACATTCTAGAATGTTAATAGAATATGAAACAAATTTAAATTTTATAATTATTTTAAAAATTTTGTAAAGAAGGTAAATGTTTTAAATATATTTTTTTGCTTTTACTATGAAACATTTATTTCTATTTCTGTTCTTCTAGAAAAAGCTTTTCTGACAATGTTATCAACTAGTCTTGGTTTTAAAATCAAATATTTGCTATATTTTTTTAATAAATTAAATTAAACCCAAGCAATTAACAGATTAAATTAGGTTATATTATCACTGCTAATAATAATTAAATTTAATAATCATAAATAAATTAATAAAAATATAATCATTAGGTTTTGAGATGTTTTTTATACATATAAATAATATTGTGCTTCTTTTACATCTCCAGTTTTTATTAAAAAAAAAGAAAGATTGTTTCTGTTAAACTTTTGAACAATGAGATTTTATAATAGTAAGGATCCTTTAATTGAATGTGGATATAACAAATATAATTATAATTTTTCAGAAATTTGAAGTAACAAAATGATTATCATCTGGTTTAATCTTGATAGTTAGTTCATAAAGTTATCTAAATTCTCTCAAAATACAAATTGTTATAATTTGTCATAAATATTTTATCCTGTATTCTTTGTTTAATCTGACAGATAAACATATAGAGCAGTGATTCTCAAACCTTATTCTGCAGAACCTTAGGATTTCACAAGCAACCTCTAAGTGCTTCACAAAGATATAAGAAAAAGTATATTGAAAAATACACAAATCTTCACTTACAGAACTAACCTTTTATTTCAGACTAGGGTTTCTTTCCCGGGATCCTGTTTTCCCGGGATTCCCGCCATTTATTCCATACGAGAAAAATCCTGGGAAATTTTATTTTCCCGGGAAATCTCGCATTTCAATAATAATTTATCATGTCAGGTTTTCATTCTATTATTTATTATACAAAAAGTTGCATCTTGAAGACTCATCTAAGAGAGAAATTTTGAGGTTTCATGTTGCATATTATTACCTATGTTTTACAAGTTTCTACTTGTTAGTTCATGTAATATTTATGTATTGTGTTTGTGCACCATTGAACAGCGGAGCACTCGCTGAAAGTAAAAATCACTCATCGCACTTTAGTTTATTTTTTATTTTATCATTAGAAATAAAATGGTATTTTTTTTCGTAATCATTAAAACTCCCAATGAAACGCTTTATTTTACTTTCATCTTATAATGTAGGAGAACATAAATTAATTGAGCCTAACGTGTCCGTATGGGTGAGATTGGCCCTACACCTTTAGTTACTTACTAGAAAATAAATTAAATTATTCAAATATATGATATTTCTGTATGATCTTTTTTATTCATATAAAATTCTATTTTACTATCTCATCCCGGGATCCCGGGAAAAGAAATTATTTTTCCCGTAATCTCGCTGGAGGCAAATTTCCCGGGAAATGAGAAACCCTATTTCAGACTACACCTCAAAAAATAAAGGTAAATTAGTTAAAAATGTCTTCTGGTGACAATACCATAAATTAAAACAAATAGTTTATTAAAAAATATTTTTAATGAACTTTTTGTTTTTATTTATGATATCTAAGTACTCCTGTATATATACAAAATACATATGGTGGTCTTTACATGTATACATATATTCTTGAAATTTGTCTCATTGAAGTATGCTTGTACACTTACAGACAGCTAGAGAGATATCTTGATGGGTCTAGAAAACTTTTTTGCACTGGTTTAATTTACTAAGTAACATAAATTGGAAGACAGGATGCTAATTTTGTTTTCATAAATGCTACATTTTTAGTCAAGCATGTGCAATTTTTTTTGTTATTATTTTTATTTTTATGCCAGCAATGATATTGCTGCAGCAGTGATCAGTGTAGATGGCCCCAAAACAATATTATTGACTTGCTAGCACTTTGACTTAATTCTTAATTTGTGTTCTGACAGAAAATGAACTATGCTTAGTTTAAAAACTAACTCACTCTGGGAGAAGAGGGAACCACTGATAAATCTACCATTAAAAGGTTAAACATCATTGCTTGGGGTTCCACAAAAATAATATCTCAGGCATGAGGATTTTTTTAGATGTTAAAAATTTGAAAATCACTGATTTAGAGTGATAAAAAAAATGTTTACTTGCAAGGAATAAACTATTTCACCAGCACATAATTTAAAATGTAATCCCTCAAATCTGTTGTAAATGAGTATTCAAGATTTGTATGTTTCTCATTATGCATAGCATTTTTGCTATGCATAATGAAATGAAAGAGTTTTGTCAATTCTGCTGATTGGCAAAACTCAAAAATAAATTTTCTATTTGACAGTCAAATTATCTAAACTCACATATTATAGATGTTTTATATTTTCGAAAAACTGATATTTCTTTGAAAACCGTTTCTGTGATAATAAAAAATTATAATAAAATCAGTTTAAAAACATAATTAACTTCTTTGAAATAATCTTGTTACTAAAATTTTAATTATTTGATTACAGGCACATTATGCTATAATGCATCATCCAAGTAGACAACCACTTCCTCTGAATTTGGCTTTCAGGTAAAAATTGACAAGTAAACAATTATAAATAATTAATTAATATAATTAAATCCATTTCTAAATCTATTATGTTTATTAAAATCTTTAATTTTTTGCTTTTGAATTTAGACGATGTTTCCAGTTAATGTCATCAGGTTTATTTCTTCCTGGTTCTGCTGGAATACCAGATCCTTGTGAAAATGGAAATATCAGAGTTCATACTGTTATGTCCTTAGAACAACAAGTAAAATTTAATTTTTTTTAATACCTTGCTTTACTCCTAGCTATAATATAGTTCATTTTAAAATAATTTGCAATGTGTGTATCAGTTGTGTTAACAATTCAAAAGAGTCCAAAAATTCAAGAATCATTTTTAATGTCCAAGAGGTTATTGAAGGCAGAATTAGTAAATTCTAATAATTTTTTTCTTTCTTTCTTTCTTTTAGTGAATTGTGCAAATACAAAGAATTTAACATTTAATTACTTACATTTCATACATATGTGAGAACCGAGGGGGTCGAGAGGTTAGCTTGATCCCTTATTACCAGCTTCTCATCAGGGGATGGCTAGGAGGGTTTTTAAATCAAGTAGGAGGGAGATGTGTAAGTTGGTAGGTGTCTGTTCTCCAAATAATAGACAGGGTTCAACAAAATAACAAATTTAATATCAAACTTAAAACTAGAATACATAAGGTTACAAGTATATCTAAACATGGCATTATTGTGTTATAAGTTGCAATGATATATTTGCAACAATCTGTAGTAAGCAGTCGAATACATGTTATATATTCTAATTAACCCAAAAACCCAAGAGAGAGTGAGTTTACAAAACATTCTACAAACAATACCTCTGATAAATCCTGTCCAGTTATACGGCATTGTTGGGACAATTGTGGACCCTGGAGGTTGTCGGGGAAGGTGTGGCAATCAAGTCTTGAGAGGTCCATGGAGGAGGTTCGAATAGAGTTACCAGCTTGGAGGCTTCTTTATGACGATCACCCCGAGGTGTGGGTGCAACCTTTTTTTATACTATTCCTGAAGGGGAGCTGACTGGGGAGATTCTGATGCAAAGGTGGTCTAGCAAGGGGACCTTACGGTCGCGGAAATTCAGTTCGGGATGAGACTTTGCAGGTTAGTAGTATACCTCAAGGGTGTCCACCCAGAAGAATTGTAAAGCGCACTAGCCAGAAGATTCCAAGAAAAAGGGCTCTAAAGTTTTCAGCGCAGCTTATATACTGATCGATTTTACACTATGTCAGCACAGCGAAATGGCTGAGTCTGTAGTGAACTCGTTTGCCACGCGGGTGATCTAGGTTTGATCCTACTGGCTAACTTCTTTTTTTATACTACTAACCTGCAAAATCTCATCCCGAACTGAATTTCCGAGACCATAAGGTCCCCTTGTAAGTTCAATCTGTGTCTGGGTGTTGTTTATGTTAATTGTCAGAAATCAAACATTTCAAAAAATTTATTACTTCTTTCTATCTGGTATAGTTACTCATTCCACCTCATAAAACCGATAACATCTGTCAAGCATACTAAATTAATGGCCGGTAGTGACTAAGGTCAGTGTTTGGGATTGCAACCTTAGTAATAATTGTTAAATTGGAGAGGTATTTGATCAGTCTTATCTATCAAGATATCGGGAAAAATAGGATGTGTGGGTTTTCCACTTTGTTAATTTTTTCTCTACTCAACCTTTGACTAGATCCTATTGTCATCGTCAAAACATATAACTAAATAATTTAATTACTTTCCTTTCAAATCTCACACATATGATATTCATGCACCATTTTTAACAGCTATGACACACTGATAAAATTATCTTGAAAATAAATATTGCAAGATTTCTGTTATATATTAAAGAACTAGTAACAGAAATGTTTGAGGAGGACAGATATGAAAAATATTTCAATGTGACTATTTTTGAAACATTTTTATAAAAATGATTTGATTTAAGATTGGAAGACAGTCTTAAATCAAAAATAGTAATCTTGATACTGATCATAATAATAATGATTCAACCAAAAACAAAGCAACAGCAGTAAAATCAATACTGGACAACATAATTAAAAAATACATTATAAACAACTAAATGTTCAAAAATTAAAAATTTTTTTTTAACTTTGCAACCAAACTAATTATTTATGGCTTAAAACAATGATTATCTTATGCCACTTCAGAATGAAATTGAACTCATAGACAATCTTCATTTAATATCAGTTTCAATTTATTTATTATTAGATCTTACAAGTTAGTTTTCATATATTGGGTTGTTCGGAAAGTTTGTAGCAATTTTTGATAGCCGACAGTTGAGACACTGATTGACGTGAAAATGATTAGAATTGTACAAACCAATGAATATTACAATAAATGACCTTGAGACATGTCCATTACAAAAATGTTAAGATTATTCAAATATTGTTTAATTTGTCTCATTGCAAAAATGGATGCAAACAACGTGCATTATCGACACTTGTTTCTCTTTTTTTATCGTAAAGGAGAACATGCTGTACAAACAGCAAAAAAGATATGTGATGTTTATGGTGGGAGTGCTGTAGCAGAATCAATTGTTCGAAAGTGGTTTGCAAAATTTAAAGCAGGTGATTTCAGCCTTGGAGATGCTCCCCGCTCAGGAAGACCTCCCGTTATTGAAGAGGACCAGATCAAAGCATTATTGGATGAAAACCCTCATTATACAACTCCAGAAATTGCAGACATGGTGAAGTTATCAAACAGTACCATATTTCAACATCTAAAGAAGCTTGGATATGTGAATTGTTTGGATGCGCCATTTGGATATCTCACAACTTAACGGAAATGAACTTACTGGATCACATCTCCATTTGTGATTCTTTTGAAAGACGAAATGAAAATGACCCTTTTCTGAAGCGTTTAGTGACAGGTGATGAAAAATGGATCATTTATAACATCAGCCAAAAACGATCATGGAGTAAGAAAACTGAACCACCATTAAAAACTCCAAAGGCCAGTCTTCATCCAAAGAAGGTCATGCTCACAGTCTGGCGGGACTGGAAAGGAATCCTGTACTATGAGCTGCTTCCACAGAATCAAACAATTGATTCTAATAAATAATGTTCCCAATTGGACAAGCTGAACATGGCAATTAAAGAAAAACATCTGGAACTGGCTAATAGAAAAGGCATTGTGTTTCACCAAAATAATGCCCGCACACGTCTTTACGAACACGCTAAAAATTATTGGAACTAGGTTGGAATGTTTTACCTCACCCCCCATAGTCACCTGACCTTGCTCCATTGACTACTATTTGTTCCATTCTCTGCAAAATTCCCTTCATGATAAAAACTTTGACACTTTGGAAGCCTGCAAAAACCACGTGGATCAGTTTTTGCGGGAAAAACTGGAAAGTTTTACGAAGAGAGTATCATAAAGCTCCCCCATAGATGGCAACGCATCATTAAAAACAAAGGCACATATGTAATGGAATAAAAATATATTTTTAGTTTTAAAACAGTTTCTTTTATTTCTCTTAAAAATCGCTATGAACTTTCCAAACAAACCAATAGTTAAGTTAAAAATCAATATTGCCAAATTTATTATAAAGTTCTTTTTCTTAATTAATTTAATTAAAAGAATTAAAACTTCTCTTTCAGGATTTGGTTTGTCTTACTGCACAAACTTTATTAAGAGTATTTGTCCATGGTGGTTATAAGCAGATATTGGGATTGGAAGATACAGGAAATAGTAAGTACATAATTTGTATTAGAGATGGTATGATACTTAATTTTGTTGCTAGATCCAATTCAATACCAGTACTTTTTTCTATACATATTCTACAGATGTTGGTAATAAATGAAAGTATGAAACATTGGTTTAGAGAATATTCACTTTGTTTACTAACTGTTTAAATTCAATATAAAGAAATAAAAGTTTACAAATCAATTTATAGATTTCTTTCATATCTGGGTCCTAGGCAATTGTAATTGTGAAGTTTGGTACAATTCCAGCCCTATTTTTAAGAAAAATACTAACAAACATTGAATAAATTTACAATGGTATAGAAAATTTATGAAATTGAAAAATCACTGCTAAATTCCCAACAGACTTGAAATATTGCCAAATATGGCAATAAATTGCCAGATCTTGCAACATTGTTCACTGACTGTCCATCACTAAAAACTAGACATGTGCAGTGCCTGCTGCTGCTACCACCATTATTTTTTCACTTATGGCACTGCTGATCTTTGAAAGCCTAGTCACTGGCATAAATATAATAGAATACAGTGATACCTTGTACTTAGAGTGTTTCAAAGTTCAAATTGCATGTGCAATGGAAAAATGTGCTCTGATACATAAATGCAATGCACCCAAGTTGTTGCTTGTTCTGGCTCTTGCATTAATCTTGTATGTTTTCAGTACTTTTTTTTTTTAATAAATTTTTAACAATTTCTTCCTGAAATTTTCATCAACAGCTTTTGGGCACCCCTTATGTTTTGTATTCTTTAGTTCAAAATTTTCCAAATGAAATTTTTTCAGCCACATTTTAAATGTTTGAAGTTTAGGAGCATATTTCCCATATACATTACAAATTTTACTGTTTGTATGCATTATATCCTTTCCAAACTTATAATGCATAAAATGCCTGATACACTTTTTGTCTGAAAACTAGAGGTGGATAGTTCCAAATCAGAACCATTCCAGGCAACTACTAGGAACAGTTCCACACCAAGTGTTGAGATGGTTCCAGTTGGAACTACTAATGTGTTCTTTATTCTGTACTTTTATGAATACGGTTTTCCACAGTATGATGAATTCTTTATCTGGATTTGAACTTGAACTAAATGAAAATATTCTATGAGTTTTTAGGAATAATCAAATGTTTTGAGTAGTTTAAATTTATTAAGATATTTTTAAAATTTATATTTTTAGTTCAGTTTGTAATCATTTGTTTTATTAGTAACTAACAGTATGTCTTGCATTGGCTAGCCAAAAAGTAATAATGATAAATGTTAAAATGAAAACCATATTTCAGATTTGGTTATTTTAGCCTACTGTTATGTTTATCACAAAGTTTCAAGGAGATCAAATCAGGAGAAGAATGGGTGGGTGTCCAGATTTCATGAGAGTCTATATTTTCGTTGAGTCCCAGAGAATAAGTATGAAAAATTTTATGCAGATTAGACAAAGGGTTTAGGAGTTAATAAGGGGGATGAAATCAAGAGAAGGGTAAGATGTCCAGGTTTAATGGTAGTCTATAGTTTTCTCAGAGTCCAATAATAATTTTGAGCAGATTGACCAAATAACTAAGAACAGAGTGAGAAACATTCTATGTCCTATATAAAATTGATGGGGCTTCAGAATTTTTTTTATTTTGAATTTATTATTTTATGAGAGCTTTAATCCCATGTAGAACAGACAAATGGTATCCTGTTCTTTGATTAGTCTTTGTAAATGAAGATTTTTCATTTGGAAATTGGAAATAGAGAGATAATACACTTAATCACAAAACAACATTTAATTTTAAGAGCAACTTTTTACACAATACTTTCTTTTTTCATTTTTTACTCTTTTGCTTTCTTTGTCCTGTGGCATTGGAAGACTTTTATATCAAGTCATTGTGGATCTGACAAAACTCACAATATGGTGGCTGGATGACGAGGGACAGGGCCTGATATATCTGGGATAGATCACCCCTGAAAAATTCTTGGAGGTTTTTGATTGTCCCAATTTAATCTTGGAAAGCCCAGAGTAGTAGGTTGATGTCTTTAATGCCTCTGCCATCTGGCCATCCATCTATACAATGCTAGAATATAGCAATGGGGGAGTAAAAATGTAATGATAATGTTTCTCTTTTCTAAGTATGAATAATTCTTATTTTCACTACCTGGGATTTGAATCCCCAACTTCTTTTCTTACATCAGGTCATGTTCATTAGATTGGGGTTGTGGACACCTCAGTTTCAATTCATTTCATTTTTATTCAGATGTCAACTTATAAAAATATCAATATATTTGTTTTAATTTACTAGTAATTTAATTTATTATATACAGTATAAATTTTTTACTGTTTTGTTTAAATGTAATGATGACCAGAAAGTTGAAAATCACACTTCTGAAATAATGCATGCCAAGTTGTGCCACCACCACCACCACCACAATGTTTGCTGCCAGAAATTATAGTTTGATGTGCTAAAAACATATCCAGTCTCCTGCAAAACAGCTCTCCCTAACTATTCATAAACTTTTTATTATACTAATGATTGTTTATTACATTATTATATAATTTAAATGTTTAATTTTTTTATGTTGGTAAGTCATACCTGTTTTTTATTTTGATAATATAGTACAGTCTTGATAATCTGGCCTTTCATTCATTTGATATGTCCAGTAATACAACCCTAGTTGACTCTCAGGTATTCCAGTGTCATGCCTCAAAAGGTCCAGGACGACATATTTAGGTAACTCAAAATGTTCACCTGGACACTTTAATGTAGCACACTGCACAACTCCATAAGTCTTGGATTACCTCAAGCCGTCCTGAGCAAAAATAAATAAATAAATTTAAAAAGATTTGTTCTTAATATCAGATTTTGACTACATTTGTTTGATATATGATTTATTAAAAAATAGGAGATAAAAATGACCTTGAAAATTATCAACCAGTTGATTTACTATCAACTATTTGAAAATGTTTTACATCCATACTTGCAAATATATTTCAAAAATGGCTGTCTAAGACAAATTTGATATCTAATTTTTAATTTATGTATACTAAAAACAAAGATACTAAGATGACAATATTTTTTCTACTGTCAATAATACAACTACATCTTAAAAAGCACAAGAAAGTTTTTGCTGTATTTGATTCACTTCATGTTCAAACATTAGTTAAATCAGAATAATTTAGAAAGTATCTGGAAGAAAAATTTTCAGTTTCAATTTTGAAATTATTTTCTACATACAAAGTTAATATAGTATATGGTAAAGAAGAATTTCCTGAATTTATTTTTAATCAAGGAACTCTATCTCCTTAACTCATCTATACTCAGCATATAAAAATTAAAAAAGATATATTAATTAAATTATTAACAACTGTGAGGCAGATAATAGTGTGGGCTTATCAGACCAGTAATGGGCACAAACACTCAGGGATCAAAGTGAAAACAATTTAATAAACACAGAAAAATTACTACATAAGTATGGAAATGAAATATGTAGTAATATTAGAATAAATGTAGAAATATTATGTAGTAATTATTTTGTGTTTATTAATCAGTTAAAATAGTAATTTTGTTAGAGGAGTTATGTTGTTTGTTAGTATCAGTATTTCTTAATACTTCTATGTACATTTTTTTAGTTTATTTTTATGTTATTCTGTTGGTTATTTAATTTTTTAATTTGAATTTTGTATTCTATTAATGGAATGCTTTAGTTCCAATTTCATTCTAAACCTGAGGATGGCCTATAAATCAGGCTGAAAACTTTTGTTTTTGAAATAAATATATTTCTCGGCAAGGAAAAGGTGTTATTTGTCTGATTGGTGATTTGCTGAGTACTTTATCATAATTTAGTAAAAAAAAATTTTTTTAAGAAACAGAGAATTCAAATTTTTGATAAAACATATTATTACATTCTGTATGCTGATGATTTAGTTCTTTTTTCTCCAACAAAGCTTGTGCTACAGAGAGATATTAATGTATTACATAATTATTTGAAAACTCTGCATTTGACTATAAATACAGCAACAACTAAAATTATATTTAGGAACAATATGAAAAATATCAGAAAGTGAGATGATTTATTTATATAGTCAACCTTTCATGATAGTAAATAAAATTAATTATTTAGGAGTAATATTTTCTTGGAATGGAAATTTTTATTGTCATAAATAAACTAAGTGATAAAATTAAACTGTTAATGGATCATTTAATATACTTACATTTTTCATTGAAAATTTCTAATTTAAACTTACATATAAAGTTGTATAATTCTTTAATAAATTTGTCAATACACTATGTCAGTCCAATATCGGATATAGATGTTTTTTTGAATGATTTAGAAAGATTTCTTATAATTTTTCTTTGTAGATTGTTTATTGTTGAAAGAACAGTACTTGGTTACACACTTCATTGTGAGACAAATATATATCAGGTTTTTCCTTTTTATCTAAACAGATCAATTAAATTTTATTACAGATTGAATTATAATAATGATGAAAACATTAAATTTCTCCATCAAATAATGCTCAAACATTGTAAAAAAGTGAAAAAATATTAAATTTTAACTGTCAAAGATTGTCATTATTTACAATCTTTTGTCATTTCATATAAATTATTTGAAAATTTGGAAGATGACTAGAAATATGAATAAACTCTACTGATAGAAGTAGCATTTTCTTGATCAATAAGTAATGATCAAAATTCTTTAGCTCAATCTGTCTTTCACCCACAGTATGTAGTTCTCTAAAAATTCTCTCAGAATCTAACTATATGGCAATAAACATAGGAATAAACATAAAAAGGTTGATAGTACAATTAAGATTAAATAAATTTTTACTATTTATAAACAGTGTATATTACCTTCTCAACAGAAAACTGTTATTGGTACAATGAAAAAGAATTTTCTGTAATTCATCTAAATTCTCTAAGGTATGTCAGTTCAATAAAATTTTTGAAATATTACAATTAAATCAATCTCAAGACTACTGACAGAAATTGAATGGCTTGGCTTGTCAAGATTTCAAATGTATAGCATAAATAACTTTTTTTAAATGTTAAAGAACAAAATGGAAGTAAGGCATAAAAATTAATGTATTAAATATATCATTGTTTAATTTATATTGGCTAACTTTTAAGCAAACAACTTGACACCTAAGTGTGAATTCCAGCATATAATGAACAAATAAATTTTAATGTTCAAATGTTTTGGGGTCTTTCAGAGACCCTCATCAGGAAAGAATGCACAAAACAGAAAAAACAGTTCTTATTATGAATTTGCACTTAGGTATCAAGTTGATTGTTTAGTATACAATTCCAATTTGTGTGCCAGTTTTTTATGAATAATTTGTCAGTAAAAACACTCAATTTAAAATTTTGTAAATCAATCAATGCAACAAGAATGATTGGTTGATATATAAACAACAGACATACTGTATATTTCCGCAGATAAGACGATAGTTGAATCATAAAAAAAGCCCCCCAAAATTCGCACTTATAGGACAGATACAAAAAAAATTAGATTGAAATTTATATAAATTAAAATCATTATTAAAAAACGGAAAAACCATAATTATTTACTAGTATTGAGTAGGGTATGTCCACAAAATAGAATAGCCCATACAACGTTTTTGTGAATAGTCAAGGCCATTACCCAAATGCCCAAATCAGTGCAAATGTTTGCAACAATAGCAAGGCAGTACTGCCAGATGCAAGAAAATAAAATTTGTTCATTCGAAAAATTACAAATAGGACATAATTCTGTATACGCTATACTGTATTATTGTCCAGATGATGATTGCTGATCTAAACTAAATTCATAGGCCGTTGATAGATGGGATTCATCTTATAGGACAGATATATGCTAAAACTATAAAACTTTGACGAAAATTTATACCTCGTCTTATCTGCAGAAATATACAGTAATTAATAAGTTATTCATAAAATTTTCAGTTCAGTTTACTTAAAATATATTGTAATGCTTCCTGTATGTAAAATTATACAGTGATATTTGTATTAAAATATAAAAAGGAGATAAGTCTCCTGTAAAAAGACTTGCCTTTATTACAATAAACATTTATATAATATATATATAATGTATTTTTATTTAAATATTTATTTTTAGTTGACATTGCAAATGATATGACTGTTTGGGATGGTGTTGTTGTTTCACCACTTACCAAAGCTTACGAAAAGCCTCCTGACAAGAAAGATGGAGAAGAAACAGCTGAGGATATGGAACAAGAAGGTGCTGATGATTCTATGGATATGCAAGACACATAAATTCTGTAATTGAATTCATTAATATAAAATATTAATTTCATATATGTACTTTTATTGTGTTGCAATCATTCATAGACATTGTATCAATTCATTTCTGCATTGATCAATTAAATAATTTTTACTTTGCTTTGTGTTTCCAAAAAAATGATGGGTGTTTATTTACAAATTTTATATTTTCCATGTTTATTATACTTAAAGAAAAACAAAATACAAAATATATTCAGATAAGCTTATTTAATAAATATACAGTGATACCTCAGGATACGAATGCCCCAGCATATGAAATTTTCAGGATACGATATGAAATTTGAAGATATTTTTGCTCCATGATATGAACAAAAACTCACCATATGACATTATATTAGTTCGCAGCGGCATTTTTTATTCACTTCTGTTTATTAGTCTCAGTCCGCGTGTTTGCTTCGTTGTGGAAGGATCTTGCTCGATAAAGGAAATCTTGAGGTATTATCGGAAAGTGACTGGTTTTATTGAAAATAAACATCCCGAAAAGGTTCACACTGGCCGTATTACTGCTCGGAGTAATGACATTTGCCTAAGTCATTTTAGAAACATTTTAAAAAGTAGGCAAAGCCAAACCTCTTTGGATAGATATTTTACCACGCGACCTCCATCCAGTGAAAGTGCTGGTGGAAGTGAAGGAAAGAAAGCGAAAAGAAGTGAATAAAAGTTTTAAAAAATATATATAAAACAACACTAATTTTTTTAATCTTTTCTAAGTTATTTTTAAGTTATTGTTACATTATGTTATGTAAGTTAAGTTTTAGTATCATTTTCCTTCTCCCTCTCTTCCGCCATCGATTTACTCCTCCACCGTGGACTATCCTCAAAGGTAAAGTGCAAATAAAACTACATTTTTTTGTAATTATTATTCTATTATGGTTATTTATACTTTTACAACTACAAAACACATTTTTTAGTGTTTTTCTTACTATAGTTATTATTTTTTAATGTACTACTTAGCTTTAATTTGAGTATGTTTTTCGTGTTGGAACAAATTATTTGGTTTTACATGTAATCATATGGGGAAAAATGATTCACCTTACGACATTTTCATGATATTATACGATCTCAGTTTCGGAACGGATTAATTTCTTATCCTGAGGTACCACTGTACTACAAAACTTACGAAAAAATTTAAAATTTTCATTTGAAAAACTATACAAGGTATATGGTTCTAAATATTGTATAAAGTACCTTTTATTGTATAATTTAATTTTCTATCAAGTTACAAATTGCCTTCTTGTTCTAGCACAATCAATCCACTTATTAATATCATTAATTATGTATATATATATATAAACTATCTGTAATATGTATAACAAAAATGTTTTTTCATGTTAAAAATGTTGATTAAAAAACTACATTTTCAAATATACATACACAATTTATAGTGGTATGTTAATAATAATAATGTCTAAAAAATAAAAATAATGCCATGATTCTGACATGAACATTTACCTAGGTTTTTTATAGTTGGATTTGTATATAAATAGACACAGATATTTTGCATAGTTGTTTTGATCTTGATTTTTATAAATGTAATGAACATCTATCCACGTCACAAAGTCAATTTATAAATATAAATAAATAATCAACAGTATTTATCATTTGTTGCTTTGATATACAGATATTAAATACCCTTGATTTAATAAACAAAAAATTTGTCCTAAAGGGGAAAATTTATTACCATTTTTTTCTATTTATGGATAGAGTATGGTAAAAGGTGGGGCTAATGAATATAAATTATTCAATGTACCTTATAATAGTAATAATAATTCATTTGTACTTATACATTATAACAACGTTTTAATACATCCTATATGTTTTTAAAAAACATTTAGTTTAACAGACCTGGCAATATCAGAAACTCTGCCTCCATTTAGTCTATTAAGAGCACTAAGACAGCTAATTTTTATGTAAGAATATTAATTTTTCTCATCTTGATAACAAATTTTTATATTAATTTTATGAGGAAAGTTAATATTACAAAGTAGTGCTTAAATATTATTTAAAATTGCCACAATATGAGAAAATTTCTCATAAACATTAACAAATAAAAACAGCTGATATTTAGGATTTAAAAGTTACATTCAGAATACAAAGAACTATAAAATTTGTAATTCACTAATTAATTATAGACTTTTAATTCTACTGTCTGAACAAGACTGGATGCTACATGTAAACATTTGGGAGCAAAACAGTTCAATTCAAAACTTTTTCAAACTTCATTCTATATAATGTGAATATTGAAAGAAGTAAATGATAATTGTCATTTAACATTCCTGTGACTCCCAGAGCGGTAAGTTGCCACTGACCACTCAGCCATCTAGTCTAGAGATTTTATTATATGATTTGTAGAGAGAAACAGAATAGTATGGTAATTTTTCTGGAAATAGTCAAAGCTGATGAATCATGGCAGAAGAGCTTTGCAAAAAATAGTTTTAAAGTCATTATTATTACAACATATGTAAGCTTTTGGAGAAGAAAGTGCAAATGTGTTATTGCTAATACATTGCTCAAAGAATTATAAACTTTGAATTAGTTTAATAAATTTTCTCTTTCCAGTTTAATTACTTTTGGTATGTCATTATTTTACGTCTGAAAATATCAAAGATTAAGAAAAAGAATAATATTTTTAGAAAACAAAATAAAACACACTTATTGATAACATTAATCTGGCTTTGATTTTAATATCAATAATAATCAAAATAATCCATTATTTTCTGTGGGAGAAACTGAAATTTATTTGGAATTAAAGACTGTAACAATTAAATTTCTTACTTTTTATAAAATATTTATCTAGTACAACAAACATAAGTATGTTCCTCAAATTAAAAATTTTGAGAGATTTTTTTTGCTAAATAAATAATAAAACAATGGGATCGGTTATTCAAATATTAAAATTAATAAATTCTAAAAAATTTTTCTTTAAAAAAANCAGGAGAAGAATGGGTGGGTGTCCAGATTTCATGAGAGTCTATATTTTCGTTGAGTCCCAGAGAATAAGTATGAAAAATTTTATGCAGATTAGACAAAGGGTTTAGGAGTTAATAAGGGGGATGAAATCAAGAGAAGGGTAAGATGTCCAGGTTTAATGGTAGTCTATAGTTTTCTCAGAGTCCAATAATAATTTTGAGCAGATTGACCAAATAACTAAGAACAGAGTGAGAAACATTCTATGTCCTATATAAAATTGATGGGGCTTCAGAATTTTTTTTATTTTGAATTTATTATTTTATGAGAGCTTTAATCCCATGTAGAACAGACAAATGGTATCCTGTTCTTTGATTAGTCTTTGTAAATGAAGATTTTTCATTTGGAAATTGGAAATAGAGAGATAATACACTTAATCACAAAACAACATTTAATTTTAAGAGCAACTTTTTACACAATACTTTCTTTTTTCATTTTTTACTCTTTTGCTTTCTTTGTCCTGTGGCATTGGAAGACTTTTATATCAAGTCATTGTGGATCTGACAAAACTCACAATATGGTGGCTGGATGACGAGGGACAGGGCCTGATATATCTGGGATAGATCACCCCTGAAAAATTCTTGGAGGTTTTTGATTGTCCCAATTTAATCTTGGAAAGCCCAGAGTAGTAGGTTGATGTCTTTAATGCCTCTGCCATCTGGCCATCCATCTATACAATGCTAGAATATAGCAATGGGGGAGTAAAAATGTAATGATAATGTTTCTCTTTTCTAAGTATGAATAATTCTTATTTTCACTACCTGGGATTTGAATCCCCAACTTCTTTTCTTACATCAGGTCATGTTCATTAGATTGGGGTTGTGGACACCTCAGTTTCAATTCATTTCATTTTTATTCAGATGTCAACTTATAAAAATATCAATATATTTGTTTTAATTTACTAGTAATTTAATTTATTATATACAGTATAAATTTTTTACTGTTTTGTTTAAATGTAATGATGACCAGAAAGTTGAAAATCACACTTCTGAAATAATGCATGCCAAGTTGTGCCACCACCACCACCACCACAATGTTTGCTGCCAGAAATTATAGTTTGATGTGCTAAAAACATATCCAGTCTCCTGCAAAACAGCTCTCCCTAACTATTCATAAACTTTTTATTATACTAATGATTGTTTATTACATTATTATATAATTTAAATGTTTAATTTTTTTATGTTGGTAAGTCATACCTGTTTTTTATTTTGATAATATAGTACAGTCTTGATAATCTGGCCTTTCATTCATTTGATATGTCCAGTAATACAACCCTAGTTGACTCTCAGGTATTCCAGTGTCATGCCTCAAAAGGTCCAGGACGACATATTTAGGTAACTCAAAATGTTCACCTGGACACTTTAATGTAGCACACTGCACAACTCCATAAGTCTTGGATTACCTCAAGCCGTCCTGAGCAAAAATAAATAAATAAATTTAAAAAGATTTGTTCTTAATATCAGATTTTGACTACATTTGTTTGATATATGATTTATTAAAAAATAGGAGATAAAAATGACCTTGAAAATTATCAACCAGTTGATTTACTATCAACTATTTGAAAATGTTTTACATCCATACTTGCAAATATATTTCAAAAATGGCTGTCTAAGACAAATTTGATATCTAATTTTTAATTTATGTATACTAAAAACAAAGATACTAAGATGACAATATTTTTTCTACTGTCAATAATACAACTACATCTTAAAAAGCACAAGAAAGTTTTTGCTGTATTTGATTCACTTCATGTTCAAACATTAGTTAAATCAGAATAATTTAGAAAGTATCTGGAAGAAAAATTTTCAGTTTCAATTTTGAAATTATTTTCTACATACAAAGTTAATATAGTATATGGTAAAGAAGAATTTCCTGAATTTATTTTTAATCAAGGAACTCTATCTCCTTAACTCATCTATACTCAGCATATAAAAATTAAAAAAGATATATTAATTAAATTATTAACAACTGTGAGGCAGATAATAGTGTGGGCTTATCAGACCAGTAATGGGCACAAACACTCAGGGATCAAAGTGAAAACAATTTAATAAACACAGAAAAATTACTACATAAGTATGGAAATGAAATATGTAGTAATATTAGAATAAATGTAGAAATATTATGTAGTAATTATTTTGTGTTTATTAATCAGTTAAAATAGTAATTTTGTTAGAGGAGTTATGTTGTTTGTTAGTATCAGTATTTCTTAATACTTCTATGTACATTTTTTTAGTTTATTTTTATGTTATTCTGTTGGTTATTTAATTTTTTAATTTGAATTTTGTATTCTATTAATGGAATGCTTTAGTTCCAATTTCATTCTAAACCTGAGGATGGCCTATAAATCAGGCTGAAAACTTTTGTTTTTGAAATAAATATATTTCTCGGCAAGGAAAAGGTGTTATTTGTCTGATTGGTGATTTGCTGAGTACTTTATCATAATTTAGTAAAAAAAAATTTTTTTAAGAAACAGAGAATTCAAATTTTTGATAAAACATATTATTACATTCTGTATGCTGATGATTTAGTTCTTTTTTCTCCAACAAAGCTTGTGCTACAGAGAGATATTAATGTATTACATAATTATTTGAAAACTCTGCATTTGACTATAAATACAGCAACAACTAAAATTATATTTAGGAACAATATGAAAAATATCAGAAAGTGAGATGATTTATTTATATAGTCAACCTTTCATGATAGTAAATAAAATTAATTATTTAGGAGTAATATTTTCTTGGAATGGAAATTTTTATTGTCATAAATAAACTAAGTGATAAAATTAAACTGTTAATGGATCATTTAATATACTTACATTTTTCATTGAAAATTTCTAATTTAAACTTACATATAAAGTTGTATAATTCTTTAATAAATTTGTCAATACACTATGTCAGTCCAATATCGGATATAGATGTTTTTTTGAATGATTTAGAAAGATTTCTTATAATTTTTCTTTGTAGATTGTTTATTGTTGAAAGAACAGTACTTGGTTACACACTTCATTGTGAGACAAATATATATCAGGTTTTTCCTTTTTATCTAAACAGATCAATTAAATTTTATTACAGATTGAATTATAATAATGATGAAAACATTAAATTTCTCCATCAAATAATGCTCAAACATTGTAAAAAAGTGAAAAAATATTAAATTTTAACTGTCAAAGATTGTCATTATTTACAATCTTTTGTCATTTCATATAAATTATTTGAAAATTTGGAAGATGACTAGAAATATGAATAAACTCTACTGATAGAAGTAGCATTTTCTTGATCAATAAGTAATGATCAAAATTCTTTAGCTCAATCTGTCTTTCACCCACAGTATGTAGTTCTCTAAAAATTCTCTCAGAATCTAACTATATGGCAATAAACATAGGAATAAACATAAAAAGGTTGATAGTACAATTAAGATTAAATAAATTTTTACTATTTATAAACAGTGTATATTACCTTCTCAACAGAAAACTGTTATTGGTACAATGAAAAAGAATTTTCTGTAATTCATCTAAATTCTCCAAGGTATGTCAGTTCAATAAAATTTTTGAAATATTACAATTAAATCAATCTCAAGACTACTGACAGAAATTGAATGGCTTGGCTTGTCAAGATTTCAAATGTATAGCATAAATAACTTTTTTTAAATGTTAAAGAACAAAATGGAAGTAAGGCATAAAAATTAATGTATTAAATATATCATTGTTTAATTTATATTGGCTAACTTTTAAGCAAACAACTTGACACCTAAGTGTGAATTCCAGCATATAATGAACAAATAAATTTTAATGTTCAAATGTTTTGGGGTCTTTCAGAGACCCTCATCAGGAAAGAATGCACAAAACAGAAAAAACAGTTCTTATTATGAATTTGCACTTAGGTATCAAGTTGATTGTTTAGTATACAATTCCAATTTGTGTGCCAGTTTTTTATGAATAATTTGTCAGTAAAAACACTCAATTTAAAATTTTGTAAATCAATCAATGCAACAAGAATGATTGGTTGATATATAAACAACAGACATACTGTATATTTCCGCAGATAAGACGATAGTTGAATCATAAAAAAAGCCCCCCAAAATTCGCACTTATAGGACAGATACAAAAAAAATTAGATTGAAATTTATATAAATTAAAATCATTATTAAAAAACGGAAAAACCNAAATCCGGGGTCATCTTATAGGGCAGATACAAAAAAAAATAGATTGAAATTTATATAAATTTAAAACCATTATAAAAAACCGACAAACTGCAATTATTTACTGGTAGAGAGTAGAGTATGTCCACAAAATAGAATAGCCCATATGACTTTTTGTGAATAGCCCCAAAATCCGGGGTCGTCATATAGGACAGATACAAAAAACAATTAGATTGAAATTTATATAAATTAAAATCATTATTAAAAAACGGAAAAACCATAATTATTTACTAGTATTGAGTAGGGTATGTCCACAAAATAGAATAGCCCATACAACGTTTTTGTGAATAGTCAAGGCCATTACCCAAATGCCCAAATCAGTGCAAATGTTTGCAACAATAGCAAGGCAGTACTGCCAGATGCAAGAAAATAAAATTTGTTCATTCGAAAAATTACAAATAGGACATAATTCTGTATACGCTATACTGTATTATTGTCCAGATGATGATTGCTGATCTAAACTAAATTCATAGGCCGTTGATAGATGGGATTCATCTTATAGGACAGATATATGCTAAAACTATAAAACTTTGACGAAAATTTATACCTCGTCTTATCTGCAGAAATATACAGTAATTAATAAGTTATTCATAAAATTTTCAGTTCAGTTTACTTAAAATATATTGTAATGCTTCCTGTATGTAAAATTATACAGTGATATTTGTATTAAAATATAAAAAGGAGATAAGTCTCCTGTAAAAAGACTTGCCTTTATTACAATAAACATTTATATAATATATATATAATGTATTTTTATTTAAATATTTATTTTTAGTTGACATTGCAAATGATATGACTGTTTGGGATGGTGTTGTTGTTTCACCACTTACCAAAGCTTACGAAAAGCCTCCTGACAAGAAAGATGGAGAAGAAACAGCTGAGGATATGGAACAAGAAGGTGCTGATGATTCTATGGATATGCAAGACACATAAATTCTGTAATTGAATTCATTAATATAAAATATTAATTTCATATATGTACTTTTATTGTGTTGCAATCATTCATAGACATTGTATCAATTCATTTCTGCATTGATCAATTAAATAATTTTTACTTTGCTTTGTGTTTCCAAAAAAATGATGGGTGTTTATTTACAAATTTTATATTTTCCATGTTTATTATACTTAAAGAAAAACAAAATACAAAATATATTCAGATAAGCTTATTTAATAAATATACAGTGATACCTCAGGATACGAATGCCCCAGCATATGAAATTTTCAGGATACGATATGAAATTTGAAGATATTTTTGCTCCATGATATGAACAAAAACTCACCATATGACATTATATTAGTTCGCAGCGGCATTTTTTATTCACTTCTGTTTATTAGTCTCAGTCCGCGTGTTTGCTTCGTTGTGGAAGGATCTTGCTCGATAAAGGAAATCTTGAGGTATTATCGGAAAGTGACTGGTTTTATTGAAAATAAACATTCCGAAAAGGTTCACACTGGCCGTATTACTGCTCGGAGTAATGACATTTGCCTAAGTCATTTTAGAAACATTTTAAAAAGTAGGCAAAGCCAAACCTCTTCGGATAGATATTTTACCAAGCGACCTCTATCCAGTGAAAGTGTTGGTAGAAGTGAAGGAAAGAAAGTAAATGGCAGTGAATAAAACTTACAAATCTAAATATATAAAATTGCTTGTCCTGACTGACTCACTCATTCATTCACTGATTCATCATCGCCCAGAGCAAACCGCTTAACCTAAAGAGGTGAAATTTGGTACACAGTTAGGGTACGTCATGGAAACGCACACTAAGAAAGGATTTTTCGAAATTCCAACGCGGGGGGGNGGAACGGAATAATTTCTTATCCTGAGGTACCACTGTACTACAAAACTTACGAAAAAATTTAAAATTTTCATTTGAAAAACTATACAAGGTATATGGTTCTAAATATTGTATAAAGTACCTTTTATTGTATAATTTAATTTTCTATCAAGTTACAAATTGCCTTCTTGTTCTAGCACAATCAATCCACTTATTAATATCATTAATTATGTATATATATATATAAACTATCTGTAATATGTATAACAAAAATGTTTTTTCATGTTAAAAATGTTGATTAAAAAACTACATTTTCAAATATACATACACAATTTATAGTGGTATGTTAATAATAATAATGTCTAAAAAATAAAAATAATGCCATGATTCTGACATGAACATTTACCTAGGTTTTTTATAGTTGGATTTGTATATAAATAGACACAGATATTTTGCATAGTTGTTTTGATCTTGATTTTTATAAATGTAATGAACATCTATCCACGTCACAAAGTCAATTTATAAATATAAATAAATAATCAACAGTATTTATCATTTGTTGCTTTGATATACAGATATTAAATACCCTTGATTTAATAAACAAAAAATTTGTCCTAAAGGGGAAAATTTATTACCATTTTTTTCTATTTATGGATAGAGTATGGTAAAAGGTGGGGCTAATGAATATAAATTATTCAATGTACCTTATAATAGTAATAATAATTCATTTGTACTTATACATTATAACAACGTTTTAATACATCCTATATGTTTTTAAAAAACATTTAGTTTAACAGACCTGGCAATATCAGAAACTCTGCCTCCATTTAGTCTATTAAGAGCACTAAGACAGCTAATTTTTATGTAAGAATATTAATTTTTCTCATCTTGATAACAAATTTTTATATTAATTTTATGAGGAAAGTTAATATTACAAAGTAGTGCTTAAATATTATTTAAAATTGCCACAATATGAGAAAATTTCTCATAAACATTAACAAATAAAAACAGCTGATATTTAGGATTTAAAAGTTACATTCAGAATACAAAGAACTATAAAATTTGTAATTCACTAATTAA